TTTAGTATATTACTTTGTGTGGGTAGAAGTGAATCATTTACTGCTTGCAAACCAATGATGGTAAGATGATGTCATGGGGTAGGACTGGATAAGTCTGACTTCTTCCTACTCCATTCAAGCATGTACTAGGTATAAGCAAATTGATATTGGATTATGTTTAAAATTATGTGTGGTGTCATATCAACTGTTTTTACATGCTTGAAAGAATAAATCAAACCAAAAAAATCAAATCAGTCAGAAACTTCTTATACAAGCTCTCATACTCGCACTGTTAGAGAAGGTCCTTTTCCGCTTCATTCTTTCACTTTCTCCTGTTTTCTTCTCTTTTTAAATCTTTTTTTGGTTTATTCTCAGATTTTTTGTTTTCTTAATACTAACATCAGGTGGCACTGACAGCTGGCTGAGCTGTGTTCATGCCTTCTTTGTGGTTGCACTGGATAAGGAGTCACAGGGAAGTGAAGGAAAGTTTGAAGCACAGTCAACATGTTCAGTTGGTCACGCCATGGCTTAGCAATAACAAAAATCCTCTTCTGACTTTTAAAGTTAGAATACATGTGACTCATCAATTTGTTTCAGTTTCAGAATGAGTTGAGATTCTAGTACAGCAAAAGCTCAGGATCACTATAAGTAATAGCATAATCTCTTTTTGCAGCTAATGTAATTATGAAAATGAACTAAATGCCAAATAATGTAATTTATTTTTCAGGAACAGGGGGCTTGTCGGGATTCCGTTGCCAGGGAGAACGAATCGAGCTCTCTGCAAAGAAGAAGGAAGAAGGAGAAGTAGGAACATTTTCTCACAACTCATCTCCCATCAAGCTCTTCTTTTCACTGCTCCCTACTGCCTTTACAGCTTCACCATCATGAAGCTGAAAGAGGACCTCAACCCCATGCTGCTGATCTTCTTCCACCTGACAATATGGATCTACACTATCATCACTTTTCTGCCCTCCTACTTCATCAGCTGGGTCTCCAGAGGTGACAGGCCCCCCTACGGCTTAGAGGAAGAGCGAGCCAAGAAAGTAAAGGCCCTCTCAGTGCTGGGAAATCCTGAGGGACCATACAGAGCAGTGGGCGCCATTAAGAGGCTGGTGCCATCTCTGTACCCAGGAGTGGACACTCTGGATAAGATGTTTGAGTATGCTGCCACGAGGTTTCCCTACCGAGACTGTCTCGGGACGAGGGAGGTGATCAGCGAGGAGGATGAGCAACAGAGCAATGGCAAAATGTTCAAGAAGGTAAAAATCAATAAGAAAGGGGTGTTTATATAAGTAGTAATGTAGTGATTGCATAAAAAAGGGACATAAACATCACATTAGTGGTACTTTAAAGGAATCATTCAACATCTGGGAAAAACTCCTTTACTGTATTTAGTTTGTTGAGAAGACTGATAGCCCTAACATACTGTACCTTGACCATTAAATATGAAGCTAGAGCTGGCAGACAGTTACTTTAGGTTAACATAAAGAGTCAAAACAGGTAGCTTCATATATACCAATATAGCTTTATATTTAACAGGTCTGAGAATGGTATTGATCTCCTCTTGACAAGAAATCCAATAAGCATATTTTCCAAAATGTTGAACAGTTCCTTTAAGGCTACTGTAACTGCCACCATGTCATAGTTTTTCTCTTTAAAATAATACAACTTTGTACAAACAGTTGTATTCCCAGATTATTTAGAAGCCTATTACCCAAGTAAAACACCCTGAATCAGTGTTACCTGTATGTTTTGTAGCATAAACAGAGCCTACATGATCAGGACATGACGTGTAATACCTTACACCGGAATTACTCCACTAATCCTAACAGCCTGATCCTAATCACTCTAAATCTCACTGCTGAAATACTTATTGCTGCTAGTAGATTTTTTGTTTTTTCCAAACAAGTGGAAAACAGTACTGTTCAGTATAGTCATCTTTACTGTGCCTTTGTGATGGCTTATTTGTGTGCACTACCATTTATTAAACATTAGGAGCCAGTATAACCTCACACATACACATCCAAGAAGCTCCTACATCGGTCTGAGGCCTTTATGTCATCAGTGTTACAGAGTGTATCCAGCAGCCAGTGTTTATTGTTTCTACATGCTAAAGAACTGTAGCACGAGAGTGACCGTGGAAGAGGAAGTAGTTCTGTTTGGTAATAGTGAACTATTGTTCCCGTTTCGTTTTTCATATGACACAGGCCAAACATGTAACTGTTAACATGTCCCCACGGTGGTTAGGGTTTTGTTTGTACACATAATGACTTGTTGACTTGCATGAGTAAGAATGTCTAATGTATGTCTAATGCATGTATCCTTCCCTCCCCCATCTCATCATCATCATCACCTATATGTTAATACCCCCTTTGCTCATCACTAACAGAGATTTACTCTTCTTTTTTCACACCCCACCCTCCTCCCACTCCCCACAGGTGGTTCTGGGTGAGTACCATTGGCTCTCCTATGAGGAGGCCCTCACAGCAGCGTCCCAGCTGGGCAGTGGTCTGGGATCACTGGGTCAGCGGCCAAAAAGCAACATTGCAATCTTCTGTGAGACACGAGCTGAGTGGATTATTGCTGCCCAGGCCTGCTTCATGTACAACTTCCCGTGTAAGTCCAGGATGTCTGTGAATACAGGGATAGGGTAAATACAGCCATTTGTTTTAAAGGTGTTTTTGTGCTTTTTAGCTTTTATTTGACAATGTAGTAGAGACAGAGAGGGAAGCGGGGTGAGAGACAGAGAAGGCACAGCAGAGATCTGTGGCCGGACTTGAGCTCCGGACGTCATAAACACAAATGCACATTTAACTTAATGAAAAAGAATAAAAATTTCAAGTGACTACACCAGCATCATAAACACTATAGTAAAGTGGGTTATACTAAGTGCCACTGTAGTTCAGTGTTTGACAGCTCCTTACGTACTGCCTGTGTATGCCCTGTTGAATTGCTTTGGATTTATGTCGAATGTTGACCAATTTTTTTTTTATATAGCTATAGTTAGAGTTTGGTGATTTGATCCAAACAATGGTGCATGTTTTATGGAGCCTCTTTCATTGATTTTAATGAAAGTACGGCTTTTAAATTCTTCAACTAATCATCCATAAAATACCAAAAAATATATTTTTTAAAATGCATCACATGTTTGCAGATTAAAAAGTAAGTCCCTAAAATGTAAAACATTAAATTTGAGAGTTAGGGTGAGGTTAAGGTCAGGTTAAGGGTTAGGTGTTAGGCACATTGTTGGTATGGTTGAGGGGTTAGGGCAGATCGCTAGGAAATTAATCTAAGTCAATGTAATGTCCACTGAAGTGATGGAAACACAGTGTGTGTGTGTGCAGCCTAGCTGAGACAGAAGAAGGTCAATTTGTCCCTTCTGCTTTGCTGTTATATAAGTGTCCCATTTTCCTAATCCAATCTGTTTTCCGTGTGTTTAATCATCTTGTGATGGAAACACGCTTAAATATTTACAACAGTACTTTTTTATTCTTACATATTTTATATGGTTGTACTCTAACACTTTAAAAAAATTTTTTTTGCTGTAAATTATTTCTTTCAGCTTGTATCAAGGTAGCTAACATTCTGATATGGCAACTAATCAGAAGCATAAAAATCTAATCCGGTCAGACCAAAATAGTTTTTGGTTTCTTCAGGTGAACAGGTTAGTGTGAATCATTTAACTGGGTTAGGGTTATATAGAACATTATAAGCATTGTGCAATAAAAAAACATGTTCCCCTGAGCTTAATATTTTTTCCATGTTCTTCATGTTTGGGATGTTGATGTCAGCAGCAGCATTCTGCCCTAGAGGAATCTGTGCTAATTTACTTTTCAGTATGTTTGGTACCAAGGAGTTCTTTACTTTAAACACACAGCAGCACTCACAGTTCATTAGATCTTTCTGACTGTCCTTGAAGGGCTGTTCATATCGTCTGTGTGGTTTATTTTATGCTCCATTAAACTGTCATGCTTTGAAAATACACTGCAAGCACGAGCCAATAAAGCATCTTTCTCTGTTGCTGACACAGGAACAGTGGAAAGCCGAGGGTAGTGGATAACACACTGCATGGGGTAACAGAGGGGAGTCAAAGATTGGAGGAAGAGACAGAGGGGAAAAAGGGGAAGGAGAGAAGTGAGGGGTGATGGCATCAGAAGAGTGGTGAGAGCGTCTGTGTGATCATCTGATGTTGACAGAGGCATCAAGGAGTCAGTGTGTACTTTGTATATTCAGTGTGTACTGGCTTGTTGTCAAAAGGCAAACGTGCTCATAATTTGTGAACTCTACGCTTGTCACTATATGCGAGTTAGATAAACAGTAACAATTATGCGTTCTCCAAATAATGCTGGAAAAATGTCATAACTCCAGTTTTGGCTGCTTTTTTTGTCTTGATGTCAGCTGAAGAAATACATTTTCCGCATGACGCTCAAGGAAGTCCGACTCCTGGGACTCTTTCAAGACCCCATTTGTTGAACGGAAGCATGCAGAGTGACACAAGCCTAAAAAAATCTTACAAATTCTTTGTCTGTTGCTACTGAGTGGAGCCTGGATATTTGTTAAGATTTCTGTATTCAGATGACTTGTAGTGAGTATGGTGTAATCGTCAAGCTGGGGCCCAATCTAGTGTTTAGATCTCACGCCTAGAGGTGTCATGGCCCTCATCCACACACTCTGACACACACAGTAGCAGAGCAGGAACTGTTGGAGTTCCATGACGTAGAAATGTGATGTCAGTAAGCCCCGTCCTTAAATCGCTGTGTAGGGATGCAGGATTATAGGGTTACTCTGTTTTTCCACCTCTCTGTCTTCCTCTACGTGTTGATTCCTCATCTCAGCTTTCTGCCTTTCTCTTGCACTTTTACCCAGAACTGAAACTAAAACTAACTAAAGCCTCTGGGTCACATACACTGAATTTTCCTGGGGAGTACTACTGTAGATATTTTGGTCCCAGCAGTTTAGCATCTAACAGTATTTCAATGTTTATATATATTCTGAATCTTTAATTGAAGAAGAAAAAGGAGGTGGTATTTGACGAGTTTGTAAAACATTATATGAACATTTTTGTGGGGAAAAAAAATGATTGACTCTCTAAAAGATGGACAACATGACAGGTCCCTGAAGTGAAGCCACCACAAGTCGATCTCCCCCTGGTGGCTGGTTGCAGTATAGGTCATAAATCCTGCTTCCTCCATGTCAGTGGATGGGACATGAGCCAAACTAAAAACAAATACAGATTAGATAAAGTTTTCCAAGAGGTGATTTCTGTGGTTTTTGGTAGATATTATCACAGTGATGTGTATACAAATGGTCATTTTTCTGGTAAGTTATTTGATGATATAAAAAGAGGTGTAATTCGGTTGATTTGACAGTTTTGAATGGCTCCACTTCTGGTCGCTACTACACAGAATCTGGTTGCAAAAAAGCAAGATGGCAGCCACCATATTCACAATATTTTTGTATAGTGGAGAAAAGCACTGATGCCATGTTCATCATATATATATATACGGTATCAACAGGGCAAAAACATTATTCAAAGTAGAGAATTTCTATAGATTTTAACGTTTAGACGGGGTCTTTAAGGAATAAGCCAACCATCATGATCTATCCTAGTTACCTAGTATTTATACATTGAAATACTTTTATGAACTGTTTATCTGGGGCTGTTTGTCATGTTTGGCTTTTTTGATCTCATTATGAGAAATGTTACTGCTATAGTATACAGTGATAACTCACATACAAGTAAACATCACCACATGGTATGTGCCTCTAAGCACAAAACCAGGTGCTGGAAAACAACTCAATGGGCTGCACAGAGCCCTGATCTCAACCCCAGCCAATATTTCTTGGAAGAACTGCAGCGCAGACCTTATCACCCAACATCTGTGGCTGGCCTCACTGATTCTGAATGGGAGCAAATCCCTGTTGCCTGGTTGCAAAATCTGGTGGAAAAGCTCACACCATGGTTTGAAAAGGCATGATTCATAAATATGTTATGAAATATGTTATATGTTTGCCAACACACGTACCAGTGCTCCATCACACATGTGGACTTACAGTAGTCATATCACATACCAGGACTGTTTATATCTGCAAAGGAGTGCCAAGTCGTCAGTGTGGGAGGGACCAAGGCAGGCTGCAGAGTGGTGTAGACAGTGCACTTACATTGTCAATCTTCACATGTGCGTCACTGTCAATATACAGCAATAACTCCACACACATACAGTATGTAGACATACACATAGTGTCTTGTCCTAAGGTTTTCTCAAGAATTACAATCAGTTATTTATACAGTATAAACAACTTCATTATTCATGTACTAATATGGGTCTTTAGCCCTCTGTTTCTTTTTCTGTATTTTCCATTACATCACTACTGGATCTGTCATCAATCAATAGCGATACCTCTTACACTGTAGTGCAATCCAATAGATTTTCAATACAGCATCACCATAAAATACAGACTTCAGATGTACTATAAATAGTCACAAAAAACTATTGCAGCAGTCTCAACAGAACTGATTCTTTTTCTGTCAGATACTATTTCTTGCAGGCCTATTGCACTATATTACATTTTTCTACTTCATGTCAGCCACTCAATTTTCCGACTACAGCTTCAATCCTTCATGCCAAGGACCTACACTAGAAAAAAACTCAAATACTTGGATGGCTAAGTAGTCCAGTAATTATAAGATTACGGTCAGACAGACAGTTCCCTAGAATTTGGCTCAGACATCTAGCTGTGGGGAAGGCATACAGATGTGGAGCCATCGTCAAAATGAAACCAATAAACGGGGAAAAAAGTCAACTGTGTTACATAATTCTCTTTCACTGAAGAAATAAGGCCTGTAGAGTTTGAGGATTTTGAAAATGTCATTTATTATTTTAGTCATTTGTAATAAAATGATTGTTTTGTATGTGTGTGTGTGTGTGTGTGTGTGTGTTGCAGTGGCTACCTTTTACTCCACTCTGGGAGGTCCAGCCATTGCTCACGGGCTGAATGAAACTCAGGTCACCCACATCATCACCAGCAGAGAGCTCCTGGAGACCAGACTCAAGGTAAGGACATACACAATTATATTGTAAGGAATTCAGTGGTGCCATTAATATTTGTTAACAAATGCCAACATCATTGTAGGAAAAAAGACAGCAATAGTGTTTAGGTGTTTGAAGCATACTGAATGACCTTTATCCATCAGAGAAAACCCAACCTATTCAAGAGGACTGTGTCCCCATAGAGGCATAACATTAAGAAGAAAGTCACATGCTGTGTGTTCAGGGTTGTTTGGGATATGTTTAATCCCTAAAGACAAATGGTGCTCTGGCATTTCATCTCCCCTTTTATCAAGGTGGCATAAACACAGCTCCTCTGCTCACTCTCACACATCCCCTCTTAGCCCAAGTACTGACGATGCATATGGTATTTCTGTTTGTTAAAGAAGAAACCTGGTTTTAATCTCATGTTAATGTATACACAACACAAGTATGCTTGTCATATTTGTGCTCTTGCTTACATTTGTGTGTGTGTGTGTCAGGCTATCCTAATCAAAGTTCCGAGGCTGCAGCATATCATTGTAGTAGATAACACACCAACCTCATGGCCCGGCTTCCCGCGTGGCATCAGCGTTCGCAACATGGCTGCAGTTCAGAAGCTGGGGGCCAGGCCTGAGAATGGTAAGCATGTGTATGTGTTTTACTGACTTCTGTACTCTTTGGTCACAAAAATGCTCGAGAGATGAGGACACTGCCGTTTAACTAAGATGTTGCCTGCCCTGCCAGCACCCACACCCACTCGTCTTCATGGAAGTTCATTTAGTACTACCTACTAAAGAGCTATTCATGTTTTGCATGACTGGATGTCCTCTATGGTCGAGTGACATTTTCATCATCTTGTCAGGTCTGTGTGGGTCTGTGCAGGCACAAACTTTTGGTCTGCATGTGGACAGTCCTCATAGCAAAACACCCAGCCACGCATGCACCACAATACTTGGAAAACTTTGGCGTACGCAGATTTGAAGTATGAATAGGAATGCCTGCGCATTCCTCATCCATGTCAGCGTACACACAAATGTATGTTCAAAGTATGTCTAGCCCTTAAGGGGTGCCGAAATTTAGCTGCAGGAACTCGCCTGGAGACAAAGACAGAACCTTGGTAACATTCTGTTACAGGTCTGTAGATTTCTACTGTCGAAACGGCCTATGTAGTGTAAACGTCACGTGGGAGTACTGTAGCAATATATTCATAATTAAGAATCACCCACTGTCATCTCTTCTTTGACCAAAAAGTACTCGTATTGGCCTTCAAAGCCTCTACTTGTCGAACCTAATGCTTTAACACCGTGTTTGCTTTAGTGGTGTGGTTTAAAATTCCGTGCAGTTAGTAACAGATAGCCCCACTCTAAAAGCAATGGTTATGGTATGGGGGTGGGGGTGGATTGGTATCAGTCCCATTAGGTCATGTGAATGAGGAAGTGCTCACATCTGTGTCAGATTAAAGTCGATACAATGCTTTTTCATTTGATTGAATGGATGAGGACAAATCCTTGCCTTAGAGTGAAGTCTCTTGACCTCACTTACCCAAAACAAGAGAAGCTGGTAGTTTTGTGCCGATAAAGAGATAAAGATAGAGGCTGAGGAAGGGAGGATGGAGCACTGGGTCATGTTTACACATAGCGCTGTTAACTTCACATGACATCAGCTCTCAGAGTACACACTCCTACATGAGGAAGGAGAAAAAAGAGGATCTCCCCTTGTGACTTTAATGCACTGTAGTCTTCCTTCCTCTCCTTTATGCCTCAATTCATCCTCTGCATGGGTTTGTTGGGCCTGTTGTGCTCAAATGTGGTAGTTCTGTTTTGGTTCAAGATACATGAAAAACCAAATTCTCATGTCCTACATGAACACGGTCCTGCTACTAGCCTTTTATTTACGGATTTAAACTGACTTGGGTTTATTAATTCAGACAGATGCCCAGAGAGGGACTCTGCCGTATGACTGTCTTTTCAACTATAACACAACTGTTCTTGCCAGAGCAAAATGTGAAGTCATCATAAGATGTCAGTATGTCAGTCGAAGTCAAGCTACAAATGAGCGCAACATAGCCTTTGAGTTCAGATTACCCACAAGTGTGCATCGTTATTTAGGAATTATTCTGTCTCACCCCTCTCAAATGACAGCAGGCTTTTCACCCCAGTTCCTGAGTGTGGCCATTTGGAACAGTAAACATTTCTGTCTTCAGACATAGTCTAATGACACAAACTAGTCTGTTTCAGACATACTCTTAAAATCAACCCCTCCGAGTTGTACAAACTAGTCTGTTTCACACATACTCTTAAAATCAACCCCTCCGAGGAAAACACTGAATGCATATAATCAAGTTGCATCTGCATATTCATCATGTTTGAAGTTTTTTACAAAATCAGATTTTGTTAGCACACATTTTTTTTTCCAGAGTCTTACCAGGGAATCAGTACCAGAGGAGTAATAGCAAACTGGTCAGGCCTGTGTCACAATCATTAGCATTTAAACCTGCATCAAGGGCGACTGTGGTTCAGTGGGTAGAGCAGTCGTCTCCCAACCGGAGGGTTGGAGGTTCAAATCCCAGTGCCTGAAGTCCATGTGTCGAAGTGTCCTTGGGCAAGACACTGAACCCCCAAGTTGCCCCCGATGGTTAGAGCCATCGGTGTGAGTTGGCTGCCTCGGTTCTGTACTGGAAACAAATTCCTTGTTTGTGTAGCATACTTGGCCAAATAAAGGTGATTATCCTTATTATGATGTTCAGTGCTAGTGGATGTATTGTTTGAAGACAACTGGGCTAAATAAAATACACAGAGCAAAAGTGATTTCAATGTTAAGCCAGTCTTCAGCAGCCTGAACTACACATGCTGGGTATATTCCAAGTAACAGTTTTTTGAGAACTAAACTTCCAGTTAGTGTTTTCCTAGAGAGTGTTTCATGCTGCTGAGCTACACTGGAGTCTGGAAAATCTGAACCAATACTTGAAATATACACTTGCAGAACATCCATTTACTCTCAGCTTCTTGATGGCCTAGTGTTTTTGGGCGTTGTCTCTGTTTAACCAGTACTACCTACCTGGACACCGAAACAAAATTCATACACAAACAATAAATTCCAATCCATACGGAAGAGGATAAGGGCCACTATAAAGCTGTGTATCTGAATTCTGACTTTAAAGCTGACTTTTAAATAAGTCAGAATTCTGAAAACTGAATTCTGAGAGAAGTCAGAACTCAAATACAATTTTAACAGTGGCATTAATCCTCTTGCGTACAGCCATGACTAGATTTACCCAAGCTACCACTGTGCCTACCAAATATACACAATTGAAATCCCATTGAGAAAGAAATGATTAAAGAGGAAAGACTGAAAAGAGCAAGCGACAGAGACAGCATCATAAACAGCAAAGGAAAAAATTAAACAGGAAAATGAGACGAGGAAAAGAAAGTGCAAGGGAGGTGAGGAGGAAGAGATAATGAGAAATGAGAAGAAGAGGGGAGATGATTGTTTTTGACTAGCACAGTCAGACACACTCTCCATGTGCCCAGAGGGGCCTCATTGTTTAATATCACAGCTGAGTATTTTCCATCCATGTGTTTGAACTTTTACACAGCCTCTATTGAATCACAGATACCTCTAAATATTTTTGTGGCCTCTGACCTGTGTAGCTTTTATTCCAAGAATGTCTGTATGTCATGTGGTTCTGTAACATTCAGCTCATGTGTGTGTTTTTACATGTCTGTGCGTTCTCTCTGTTCACATTACAGCAGCATGTGAGCGTAAGCAACCGATGGCTTCAGACATTGCAGTCATCATGTACACCAGCGGATCCACGGGCATACCAAAGGGCGTCATGATCTCGCATAGCAATCTCATCGCTAGCATCACAGGAATGGCCGAGCGGATACCCAACCTCTGGTAGACACCACAAACCTGTGTAAACACTTAAACCGTACTGTGTTTTACACCCTCTACTGTCACTGCTTTTATGCTAGTGGCTATAATTAACTAATTGGTCACAGCTTCCATATCAACTGAGCATGTGCACAAGTATTAGTCAGCCAGTTAGTGCCATCACGCAACAGCAAATGTTTACATTAAAATAAAAACCAGCCCTCCTCTCTGGCGACTGAGATGTGAGTGAGAGGAAATGCAGAAAGAAGGCATTCATACTCCTCGTATGAGTGGACGATGGGAGGCAGGGTGAGAAGGCTGGAGGTTAGAGGGCTTATGGATTTTACGATCTCAATCAGGCTTCTTGTGAAAATTATGGCTTTCCTGTGTATTTAGTAATAGGACTATGTAAACTTCCTCACCACGTACGCCCTAAATATCAAGGAGGTTCATGAAAATCTTATTAGGCAAAGTTTGGAGGATCCACAAGTACTTGTGGTCAAATCAATATCTGGCCAGTAGATGGTAGTTAAACCCTAGCAGAGGAAAATATAGCTCCGATTTTGTACAGATAATGTCTCATTTATCTTTTAAAGATTACATTCATATGATTTATGATTCCAGAGATCATGATAACTTGTATTAAAATTGATTTTATAAATATAAATTATTTCAACTTACTGAAATTAATTAGAACTGATGCTTGAATGAGATGGCAGTGATTACCCTCAGAGCTGTTTATAAGACTGTCTTTGTGTTGACAGTGAGAAGGACACATACATTGGTTACCTGCCTCTTGCCCACGTGCTGGAGCTCAGTGCAGAGCTCCTATGTATTTCTCATGGCTGTAGGATTGGCTATTCTTCACCTCAGACTCTTGCTGACCAGGTAAAGCCATCAAAACACTAAAACATGTACATCATGTACTCTATCATAAACTTAAATTACACAAATTAAAAAAGAAGCCACTACTGTCAGCAATACTGGTGTGATTCATCATCAGAATGTGCACTCTAGTTGTATAATAAACCTCTATACTACACACTCTTTGCACTGTACCATTCAGGTCCTGTACATTATGACACTGCTGTCTGTCTTCTTGATGAACCCCAACAAATTTTTTATCGTATTAAATGATAAATCAATGCATTTCTTTTATTTCACATCTTTGGTCAAATGGGAAGCTGCAAATCTGATGTGTGCATTACAGTGATTTTTTTTTTCCTACCTAAAGTCAACCAAGATCAAGAAAGGAAGCAAAGGAGATGCCAGCGTCCTGCAGCCCACTCTGATGGCAGCTGTACCGGTATGTCAAGAGAGTGCATTCAGAACAATTCTACAGTATAATGTCTGAGAAGTCTTAACATTTACCATATGCTCTCACAGAGTCAGTCTCCCTTACGCCTGTTTTACAAATGATGCTTTTGGCTTGAGTTCAGCCTCATTTGGCAGCAAATCATATTTTACTCTTTGTTCATAGTCCAGCTGTGTGAAGTAGCAGTGACAAGAGTCCAGCAGGCCTTGGTCTCTGTCTCTGGACTGACTGTGACGTAAATAGCTCCCTACTTCCTACCACTGACCAGTGCTGCTCTTTATCACTAAACAGGCACCACAATACAAGAAACTGTTCTCCAGGCACCTTTTTGTACTTTTTCTCACTAGTTATTTCTATGATTTGTAAAGCACGTTACATCATAGGGGTGTAAGTAAATATCAGTACAGTTTAGTATCGTGATATTACATTTTGCGATATTATACCTATTCTCAAAAACACAGTATAGATTTTTAATTTATAGTTAACATGCCAAGTAGTGCTGCTGGATGTTGCAGGGACTGTCACAAATGCAAATGGAGATCCCTGTTCTGAAAGTAAATGTTTTACACAAGCTTTTATGTATATGGTGGTGTGTTGCTTATTTTATGATTTTCTTTTTAATTGCTGTATATCGCATTGTTTACAGTACAGCAATGTATTGATTTGATTTGATTTTTGATTTATTCATTCAAGCATGTAAAACAGTTGATATGTCAACACATGTAATTTCACACATATCCAACAATAATAATCCAATATCAATTTACTTATACCTAGTACATCCTTGAACGGAGTAGGAAGAAGTTAGACTTATCCAGTCCTACCCCATGACATCATTTTACAACTTTTAAATCCTAAGCAATATCTCTAGATAAATAATTATCCTCTACACCACACAAGTAATATACTACAAAGTTATTACAGTGTTAACATTCTACATAA